ATGCATGTTCTCTCCCACATGGAAATTATGCTTAAGAAAAGACTTAGAAAAGACAAATCGAATAAATGTTAAATTTTCACTTCAATTTGTCCAAAATGATCACATCCGAAACAATTTGCAAAATAATTTGTATGACCCACCAACAAAATAGGACGAATCAAATCGATTCAACAAACACTATTTCGTTGTCTGGAATATCGCGAATAAACGTGAAGAAGTTCCATGATAAAAAAAAAGAAGTACAAAGGGAATGTGCAGTGACGTACTAATTTGTATGTGCCCAGCTGGATCGTGACTAAGATTTGTAAATCATTCAATTTCTTTCTGTATGACTAAATCACTATCATTGCGTAGGGTTGATTGTATATGTGCTCATTATTTAGCAGTGTAAGCAGTGTACTTCAAGAGCCCTTCATTAATGTGCGTTAAAACAAGGCCTTTACAAATGTGAGCTAACAAAGAGTGCTTTATGAGCATAGCTAACGGAGGCGCTATTCCTCACAATCGTAAAACCAGTCCTTGTAGATTTAGCATATAAACCTTCTACACAATATAGCATTCCTCCTTTTTATTGCTCGATTGATATCTCGGAAATCTATTCTGTGAGACGTTTTTGGAATTAGCTTTATGCATTAATTTGCGTTTTAAAGTTCTTAATGATGATTGTGCTATGCCAATATTGTTTCCTTTAGTTAATGGTCTCATCATCCAGGTATGAGGTGGAAATAAAGAAAATCAGCAGTTCTAGTATCACATTGCGCAAAATACTTCCGAGAATAAAATTTTCCACTTTAGAAAGAGTCAAGGATTATTAAATACTTGCCTGTACTTAGTCATAGAAGATAGACCTCCAGTCCAGAAGTATTTTGATCATGATATAGGAAGAATATGTCCATTGGAATACCGTTCTCTATATACACTTTGTATTCCAATAGATCTCCCGGCTTAAAAAATCCAAAATTGGAATGGAGTAAAATGGATCAATGCGCATTCTATATGAATTCTTTTATTAATACATGCATTACCAGAAAATCCCTTATCAACCAATTAATTCATCATTTATTTGTCCTTTTCTTACTGATACCAACGCTGCGCTGCAACTCACTCTGTTGAATCGCAGACTAAGTTTGATAAACGAACTATTCATAACATCTTCAGCAAATTTGCTATGGTGTCCCTCGATGAGGAACGTAAAGTCGATATCGTGTGTATATGGCATAATACCGCATTCTCGATACTAACCTAAATTTATATGAATAAAAATTTTCTGCAAAAATGATGGAATAATGTTGTAGTGAAAGAACTATTCATATATTTTCTCGAAAGTGATTCCTTGCTAGTAGTTTCCTACAGCTACAATATTGGTGTCATGCCATGCTCAATAGCCCAATTGCGGAATCTTTGATGTGTCAGTATGATCTCGTTTGGAATCTGAGTTTGGAATCGTTTGGAATTTTCCAGTGAAGGATTGAGGCTGGGTTTTACGACAGGATATTGCGAAATCTTCTCTACAACTGATAAATCTACTGCACTGTAAAACCCATACAAATGTGATTCAGTTTGCCGAACCTAGTCGCATTCTCTATCTCGTAATTCGTAATAGTAAATCTGAAATTCAACGTTGCATTAAAATGTCCAGTGATCGTGTTGTTAATATACAGATGTTATTAAATGTATAGACAATACTGTAAGTTTAGAATGATCTTAGAGTACTAGCTAAAAACTATTTGAGAATGCTCGAGTGATTTTACTTCGGTATAATTCTTCTAACTTTTTGCAAAACGAATTCGATGTAATCATCGGTTTTTGATAAACTGAACGATATCAATCGGTGGGAAATTCCATGAAATATTACTTCAAAATTTTGATCAATGTGTTTTTTCCATGACAAATTATGATTTTTTGGGAAATTGTTATTCTGTTGAACTCGTTTCTCGGTGTTACAGATTATTTCGGGAATTAATATTGTTCTTGCACAATATTACTATTTAGCAACAAGAAAAGGTGTGAAATGTGTATGTATATAACACGATGAATTGGTAGGCAATGATAAGTGAGTTATACAAAAAGCAAGTAATATCAACTAACAAACTCCTTGTCGTTGCCTTGCACAATAATTTGACTGTCGGTTAGTTCGTAGGTCTTGAATTGGGAATATGTTACGGGGAATGTATTTAGTGAATAGAAGAATATCGTGGTTTGTTGTCCAATGGTGGCGAATACGCGAAGATATCGTTGGTTGTGGGTTAGTCGCGGGCGATGGGGATGTATCGTCTGCTCGATTATAAAAACTGAATTGAACTCTCTGTCTCGGGATTTTTCCATATATATATATATATATATATGTAAAGGATTGGGGAGGAGCTTTTTAGGTTCCATCGGGTCTATCATGGATTGTGTTTGAACGTAGCTTTAATTTCGTAATCCGACAGAAAATTTGCATTATGACTTTCGGAGTTTTTCCGACATTCCCGACTGAAGAAGAATATTGCCCTCAGATGTTATAAATGTTTGAATTCGTCTTTGAGTAGCATTCCTAGTTCTTAAGGCTATAGGTTCTTCTTGTTGATCTAGTTTTTCCATTAGTTTTTTAGAAGCTGCCGGTTGAACTTTCGAACTTTCTTCAGCAGTCATTTCCAAGGGGTACAGTATTTACTGGTCTGTTGAGAAGTTTCTGTTGGGCATCTATACCAGTGTATTTCTTGTCACTCCATCTGTACCTGTTTTGAGTTCTTTTATCTTTGCCAACTTACACAGCTCTCGAGGCGTTTCCGGTTCATCTATCAATACAGCTTCGTCCTCTCTCGGCTTACGATCCTCTGCGCCTTTAGGATTTACGTGTTTCTTTTCAGTTCTTTCCTTTAAGTTGTTCCTTCTCCATGTTTTCCAAAATATGTTGAATACTTTAAGTGTTCCCAACCAGTATTTGATTATTCATTCCCTTGTATCAAAGTTTCCTGGTTTGAATTCGTCCTGGTCGTCATCAACTGTTGGAATAATCAAAAAGGCACTAGGATGCATAAAATCGATTGGGTGTATTATCTTACAATCATCGAAGTTATCATAAGTCCAACGGCCGGGTATTCAGTATACCCTCGATCTCCACGATCAACGTCATGAGTTCTCTTTCCCATAACAATTTTCTTCCAGTAACTCTGCTCATGGCCCTCTTGGTTAGCCCTATCAGTCGCTCATAGAGTCCGCCACTCCAGGGAGCATTCGGTGTTATATTTTCCCAAACCATTCCCTTTTCTGCCAGGAATTCACCTATTCTGATATGTTCCTGCTCCTTCATGGCTTTGAAAACTAGGAATTGGCTTGCATTATCGCTCAAAACTCGTTCCGGATAGCCACGTTATGAGATGAATCTCCTAAGCACGTGTAGAAAACTTTCAGCTGACAAATTTTCTACAATCTCAAGATGAACTGCTCTTGTTGTTTTGAATAGGACAACCCATCTTTTGGTTACTCCAACTTCGGTTTTGATGGAGATCGAGCCAAAATAATCCAATCCGATTTTTGCAAAGCTTCTTGAACGTAAAACTCGTGATTCAGGAAGATTCGGCATAGCTGGTGGTTTAAATGGCTTAGCTGTCCAACGTTTGCAACCCGTGCAACCTGCTATAACACGTCTTACCTCCATTCGTCCTTTCGGTATCCAAAATTTGCGCCTAATTTCCGAAAGAACATGTACTGTTTCAGCGTGATGTAGCTTTTCATGTTGTTGTCGAATCAAAAGTTCGGTAACCACATTATGCCTCGGTAAATAGATTGAATGTTTGCTTTCCTCGTCTAGTTTTGAATTTTCCAGTCGATTCCGTGATCTCCATAGCTTTCTGTCATCGCAATATAAATTCCATTTTTCCTTTTCTTTCTCATGGAGTCTTTCTGTCTGCGCTTGTCTAATTAGCACCCATTTAACTATTTTAAAGTCCTCCACGTTAGTCGTTTCACTTTTGCCAACATCGGTTGTATCCATTCTATCTTACCCTCTGTCGTGAGTTTAATTTGAGAGCCCAAATGGTGGTTGTTACAAGTCCGGACCACTTGCTGAACCGACTTCCATCTATAAGCAAAAATCGTGTTACCTCAATTGTTTGAGGGGCGACCTTTGCAGTGATTCGTTCTTCTTCGCCTTTAAATTCTGTGGACTGATATTCCCATTGAGGCCATCCGCTTTCGGAACCCTTTAACCACGATGGCCCTTTTCACCATAACTTGTATTGTCTAAGCTTTACGAGAGAAAGTCCTTTAGTTGCAATATCGACTGGATTATCTTCACAATGAGTATTTGGAGCATTCCAGTATTGAAATTGTCAAAAGGATATTGTGTCGTGAATTTTTTTTTGTAGAATTGTTGAGAGGTCCGTCAAGAGCTAAGAATCACCACCTCTTTGTTCCGAATTGACGATCCATTGGATTGACTGGACAGTTCCTTGAGTCCGACAAGCCGGGTTGAGTTGAACTGAGTTATGTTGATAAACGCACCAGATTGTAGAAAGTTTATCGAACTTTATCCTTTTTATTAACACAATAGGGTTTATATATATTCGCAAGTGGGAATGGTTTTCATTAAGCATTTGTAGGATGTGGACACAAAGATGTGAATTTAGCTAACAATACAAAGATGGGAAATAAATCTAAGGAATGTAGAATTAGTAATGAGGAATTTATTTGATTATTTGCCTGGAATTTAATTGGAGTTTCGCGAATTCCGAATTCGCGACAGATTGCCAGTTTGGATAT